TACCTATCATCTATCATCCACCTACCTATCATCTATCTATCCACCTATCATCTATCTGCCTCCTTACCCACCTACAGTCAGTTATACAAAGTTACAAGACCACACAAGAATTTACATGTCTCTTGATGTTCCTTAATGTCACAAAAATATAGTTCAAATCTGATTATCTAGCAAATATATTTTCTAAAAGAAAATAACAACAACAAAACCTTCCCCCTTTCATAAAAAGTCCCAATTTGTTTTTTGTATAATAGTCAACACAACTGAAAACAGCCCAACCTGAGTTTGAAATGTAATGAGGGTTTTGTGAGGTCCGCACATGAAAATGAACATCGAGAACATTAACAAGGGGGTAGACATTTTACAATATATCTTAAAATATTATTTGAAAGTAGAATATAAAACAACATGCTCCTCAATCATGTTCAAAACAGTATGTTTCTAATTGTTATTCTGATTTTTTTTAATCCTGGAAAACTGCATTTAGATGGCTAGGACATCTGGGAATGGTCTCGCATGCCTTGAACACCAGCACTTAGGAGACAGAGGTGTAAGGATGAAGAACTCAAAAATATCCTGGACTACATGACTCGGTGGACGGGGAGAACCCCAGGGAGAAGCACTGAATACAGGGTACGAGAAATAACGCTCCAGGGGCTGGGAGTACCTCTCAGCGGTGCAGCACGGGCCAGCAGACTTGTGGTTATCTGCCAGCAGAAGCCACCTCATTCCCATTTCATCTGGTGACGTAGTTCGGGGTAGAGACGTTGCCTAGTGCATGTCAGACTCTGGGTTTGGGCCCCAGTAACACAAGTTGAAAAATAAATTAAAAAGCAAAACAGCAAAATTAGCAGCATGGTACCCTATATACAGAACAGAGATTAATTTGCTCAGCTCTGAGGGTGAGGAGCCTTTTCATGGCAATTGGAAGTTTGCCGATTGAAAGGGAACAAGGTCAAAACTGAGAGCGCAATGCTCTTAAGGGATAAATGGACAGAGATGAAGATAGGAGACGCCTGTCTCCTCAGTAGAGTCAGTGTGGAGTGGAGTCTTACCCAGCAACCAAGACGTATTTTCCATCTGCTTGACCCTTTAGCCTCTCCAGCAGGGACAAACGAACTTTGGCTTTGCTCTTGCCGTAGATTTCAATTTCATCTGCAAGCAATCCTATCTCCTTGGCAAGGACATCCACAGCTTTTGGAGTCTGTCCTCTTGAAATCTCAATATCACTGGAGGGAGAGAAGAGAAGCATGAAGGAGGCAGTCGCCTCAGCTTAGGTGGTCGGCCCTCGAGGGAAAGGCATCCTTACACCCCGCCAACCCTAAATCAACCCAATTGCTTTGTGGTCCCTTTTCCCAGGCAGAATTAAACACAACTGCTAACAATTAAGATCCATGAGAAAGTGACTTTCCCTTCCCTCTCTTTTTGAGATATTATTACAAAAACACTTACCAAGGCCCTAGAGTGGTGTCAGGCACAAAGTTAACACCCATGTCACATGGAGAGGGCAATTGTGGTCTTTGCACTATGGCTATGGTAAACCCATTAGTGAGCACAAGGCGCCATGAGGCAGGGGAGTACAGAAAGGCTACTGCATGATGCGTTCTCGCCTGGCTAGCCAAAGTGCCTCTTGGCTATTCAGAAATATGGAAATGCCATTTTGTTTTATCTCCATCCATACTTTCTCTCTTTCCCACTTCCAGTCCAAAAATAATATTTCATAATATTTTATTAATTATGTAATGGCTTATGGAAGGACACAATATTCGAAACTCAATCTCAGACTGAAAAGTCAAGACCTTTATTTGGAGGGTGTCTGGGCACCAGACTCGACTGAGGTGAGCACACGGCGATGGCCAATGTGCTCAGACACGTCTCTTATTTGGGGTCAGCTTGTCCATTTATCTCACTTATCTGTCTGAGAAGGAGGACTGAGGGCACACTTATGCCCAGAGCCCTGAGTGTCACATGAGAGAGGACGGCAGTTCCCTGGCAGTCCCTAGGACACGGCGGTCTTTGAGAGCAGCGGCAGACCACTGCTAAAGGCAGCTCCTTGGCTACGGTTGTTTCCTGTTGCTACTGCTGACAATCTGCTCAGCCCCAATAAGACTCTAATTCTCTTCAGACCAGAGGACCAGGCAGTCTGACCTTGGTACAGGAGAGAATAGTAAACATGCCTCATTCCCCCTGCTCCAGAGGGTAGCAGGGAAGCTGGGAGAAGAGGGTGATCTTCGGGCCAGTGTAGGCTGAACTCTGGGTGTACTGTCAGACAACTCCCTCCCCAGGTCAACAGCATAGATCTTCCTATTTCTCTTCTCACCCACCCTTAGGCCCTGGAATATTATTTTATCTTGTCTTCCTGGCTATAGTTTTTCTCTGGTTTCTCTCCTTTTGTCATCTCTGAAACTGAGGAGCTTAAGCTTTATCTTGAAGACTTTCTACATTTCTCCCCTTATTAGCTTAAGAGCCACAGTGACATCAATTTTGATTTTTGCTTAGTTGAGATGGGGACCTGGTTGGCCCTAAAACCCTCAGCTCTCCTCCTGTATTGTCTCCTATGCTGGGATTACAGGCTCCTTTCCATGTTTTTTTCATATAAACTATACAGTCTGCATTCCTTTCCCGGTGGCTCTAGAAACCACATTTGGCTAAATAACTAAAGTAGCCCCAGAATACACTTTGGAAGATTTTGACATACAATATGATGAAATCTCTTTATTATTATTACTATTAATCTATTTTTAGGCCTCTGCAAGGATACTGTATTGGTGGCGTGCTTGTAAAAGCCAATCAAAAAGATATTTTACAAAGCTGATTGTACTGAATGGGATGAGATTATAAAGAATAGCATGCCTCCATGGAATGTATGTTAATGACCCAAAGCAAGCAAGTCTAAGATACACATTCTATTGCGAAGGTAAAAACAATCTCATGGGTACGCTTATACAGTGGTCAGGTGGCTCAATAAGGAAAGAGGTCAGTTCTGGTAACTGGGCACAGTGCACACACCTGTCATTCTAGTACTTCGGAGGCGGAGGTAGGAAGGTCACTGCGAGTATGAGACCAGCTTAGTCTATACGCTAACTACCTATGGCTCATCACCACCCCACCCCCAAAGATCTGAAAAACTCAGCCAGTTACTGAAGGCTGTATCTGTTTCAACACGGTATATGCCAGCATTGCTGGATGGGATGATCTGGACACTGGGATGAGGCAGCCAGCGATGATAACCTGGTCTCAGACAGCGCATCACACTGATCGTTCTAAACCACGCACTAAGATATAGCCTGCCTGTAGTTTGTATTTCCAGTTATGCAAAGAGAATATGTACTCTGATTAGTTAAGATCCTGGAGGAAACCCCCATCCTGATCATGACCACGTCTCTCGGGACAATCCTGAAGAAAGCCGATGCTCCCATGTGAGTGTCCTTGGCTGGTTTGCTCATCTTCCCTAGGACTAGAAAAACATCTGCACTATGCTGGTCGGTATCCTAGGTGTTCTGAGCCCTGGTCAGTACGTTCCTAATGTTGCATGACCATATTTTGTCAGATAAAGATACTGCTGTATGAACAATGAAGAAAAGCAGTTTATATGTGTCCATTTAATATAGAACATGTCACTAGGAAGAAATGAAATGAGAGGCAATCTTAATATGGATAGAATATGGTAAGTATGTCCACCATGATTTAACCAGGGAAGACTTGTGATAGAGAAATGGCATCTCCGTTTGATGACTAAAGAAAATTATCTCCCACCAAAATCCAAGTACTGGGGCTGATGATATAGCTCAGTTCATGCTTCCCTTAGAGTGTACGGAATTCTGGGTTTCATCCTCAGCACCCAAGCAGTGGTACACACATATTATCTCAGTATTTGAGGTATGGAGGCAGGGGGATCAGAAGTTCACACTGTCCTTGGCTACACATGGGGTTCAACATCAGCCTGGGCTACAGGAGACCACATTTCAGATAAACAAAAAGCCAAAAGCCTTGCGTTATGCCTCCAGTCTGGGACTGACTAGAGACCTCCATCACCGCGAAGGCCGCCCTCAGTACAGGCCAAGCACAGGGTCCCCTACCTGGGCACAGGGGAGAGAGGCTGCAGCTTCAGGGAGTGGAGCCGCCACCTTCTGTGCTGCTGTTCCCGGAGCCACCTCCTGCCGCTGCTGACCATGTTCTTCAGGGGAGAGAGAGGAAGACCATCACAAAGGAGGGAGACGGCAGGATGCCCACGTAAGCTGCAGGAACACTGAGAGGGGCTTATGAAGCCAAAGGGATCCCCCAGCGGGGTAACTATCACAGGATATAAGCAACAGTGGGACGCACTTGCCCCTGGCCTCCCAGGCTTTGTTTATGGGCTGGGAGGTATACGCACTGTTAAAACAGCTAACTATTCACAAAAGACACCAAGAATACAGACACAATTGTTCTGAATGCATTTTTAAAAAGTTATCTGTGTGTGTATGTGTGCTTATCCATGGAGGTCAGAGGCTGACATCAAGTATGGATTCTTCTAATGTTTTCCAGCATAATGATTTTTATAATAAAAGTACGATTGTTATTATTAGTGTAGGGGTGTTTTCTCTACATGTATTTGTCTTTTTGCACATGTGTGTAGAATGCCTGGAAAGGCCAGAGGTGGTTGGATCCCCTGGAACTGAAGATGGTTGTGAGCTACCATCTGGTGGTGCTGGGAACCAAATTTGGGTCTTCTGTAAGAGAAGACTGAGCCATCTCTCCAGCACACCACCTTAGTTTTGAGACACCATCTTTCCCCGAACCTGGGACCACACTGTCCCTGCAAGTCCCAGACATCCTCCTGTCTCTGTCTGGGATTACAGGCACCTGCCACTGCTCACAGATGTTTATGTGGGCACTGGGGATTAAACTCAGCCCCTCTGCTTGTGGTCCAAACGCTTTATTGACTGATCCACCACTCTAGCCCCTTGGATGGAGTTTTCCTCTCAATTAGAAAAGAAAAAAAAAAATTAAGACAACATAAGCCCACATGAAAGCTAAGCTTGGATTTCCAGCTTCCAAAATGTGTAATGCCGTTTCAAATACAACCCTTCTGCAGTCAGCTGAAATGAGTGTGGAAACCGAATTACTCAAAAGCGAGACGTGTGCATCTCCGTGTGTGTGAAATTAAGATGAACAGACATAGTCCCACAGGCTCGGGCATCCTCAGGATGCCCACTTCCCATAGATAAGTAATGGGACCTCAGAGTTTAGGCTACACAGATGACAGAGGCTTTAAAAGGTGCCTACGAACTTTTCAACAGCCCGATATGGTTTCCCTCTACAGAGGCCAGGAGACTCGCTTCCAATAAAAGCAAAAAGTGGCACCTTGTGATTTCAGAAATGCAAACAGACAAATCAGCCTAAAATACACGCTTTACTCTGTTTTGGGGTCACTCACAGTGGCGGAAGTTAACTGTAGCAATTCAAGAGGCCCTGTGGGGAGGTCCCCATCATAAGGAATCACGGCACCACCCACCAGCAACGAGGAGCTCAGGGCCACACGCCAACAGCCGTGTGTGGGTGTGCTGTCCTGGAAGTGAACTTCAACCCTCAAACAAGCCCTGGCTGACACCGTGAATTCAACCACCTGAAAGGCCTGAGGCCAGCCTGCTCTCAGGTCTCTCACACAGAAGATGATGAGGCAACACATGCTTCAAGCTTTGAGCTGCTCTATTTGAGAGTTAATGTGTCACACAGACCCTGCTTTGGGATCTGGCACGGTAGATGGTAGGCAAAGCTTCTGTGGGTCCCCATTTTCTCCAACCAGATGGCCTTGACCCCCAGTGCGAAGTGTCTAAAACTTTACCTGATAGGCAGAAAACACATGCAAAACATCAGCAGCTACTAACAAGACACCGAAACTCAAACGGCCGTGTCAAACGAACCTGGATCCGCAGAGCTGCAGCAAGGAGACTCACTCTGTCTTCTGCAATGAGTCCGTCCACAGCGACCCCAGGAGTGGCCCCTCTGAGCTTCCCTGTGGAGACATTGGAAAGGAAAAGGCTTACAGTGTATCTTCACTGATAAGCAATCGCCCTTAGAAACCCAGCCCACACGGTGTGCGCCCGTCATCACCCAGGGAAGCTGGGAGTCAGGAAATGTCTACAGGCCAGTCACAGCCTGGAGGCTCTTGGCTGGGCGGTTTTGTATGTTACATCAATGTCCATGTCCATTTAAGGTGTTAACTAGGGATAAACGTAGGCACGGCTTAACAAAGCACACTTGTGCTTGAGAGACGTGTCACACCAAAGGACACAGAAACTTCTAGGCATAGTCTCTTCAAGTACCCTAAGTGTCACACTGTTATCTACAAAAACGAGTATGGGATTAACGGGATGTGGTAGCCCAGCCCTGTAAAACCCAGCACTTGGAACGCTGAGGCAGGAGGATAGACAGTTTGAAGCTATCTTAGACTACATAGCTAAGTCTAGGCTACCTAGAATAAACCCGTCTCAAGAACATAGATAAGAATGAACAGACATAGAGACACAATAGTGCTTCAGACAGTTGTTCTAGCTGGATCTGGTGGCTGTAATCCTCGTTCCCCAGGAGGCTGGGGTAGGGGTGACTACAAGCTCGGGGCCAGCCTGGGGAACACAGCTGGGCCAGCCTGGGAACACAGCTGGATTCTGTCTCAGAATTAAAAAAGGAAAAGGAATGAAGCTCCAGCTCAGCAGTAAAGTACTTGCTTAGCATGGTTGAGGCCCTGGGTTCAAGGCCCAGCACCTCCGCCCAAAGCCAATTCACAACATTCGTCATAGAGGCAGCATGGCTTGCACAGCAGGTCACAGACCTATGCAAGACTCACGCCTCCACCTCTGACCCAGCCCTGCCTGGGTTGTGAATCAGCCTATCAGAACTGTGTGGCGTGAGGTGTCACACACATGGTCCAGGAGGCGCACGGTCTAGGATGCTCATTTTAACTCTCAGGTGTCCTTGCTACCTCATGTTTGGATTTCTGACACACAGTGGGCCTTCATCTTTTTACCAGAAGCCGTAACCTTTACAGTATAACATGAGAGAAATAAACAGAAGTGACTTTACTTGTGAACACAAGGCACAAACAAGAGTGAAAAGCACCTAGAGGATAAACCCTAAAACTGTGACTAGAGGAAGCTTCATTAAAAAAAAAAAAAAAAAGATTCCTGTCAGTTTATCTAATATATGTAAAATAAACTTAACTCAAATAAAATCAAATGTAGAGAATTTTTCAAACAATATGACAGAACATACTTATAATTTGTAGATTATATTTTCAAAGTAATAACTGTGGGTTTTGGTTTGGTTTGGTTTGGAGACAGGGTCTCATTATGTAGCCCTGGCTGGCCTGGAACTTACTATGGAGATAGACCAGGCTGGCCTCAAACTCACAAGAGATCTGCCTGTGTTTCCTCCCAAGTTCTGAGATTAAAGTCACTATACCAGCATAATTGTGGAGTTCTTTACACAGTGTGTGTACGTGTGTACTTGTTGAAGGGTGGGTGAGAGTGTGTGTGTGTGTGTGTGTGTGTGTGCACGCGCGCCCAGGCACATGAACCAGAGACCAGGAGTGCACATCAAGCGTTTTCCGTGGTCCCTCCCTACTTGATTTAGGGGGCGGGATGCTGTTGCATCCGGAGCTCTTGGGTTCTGCTGGCCCCAGGGATCGCCTATGTCTGCCTCCAGGGTGCTGGGATTACAGGTGGCCTTGGTGCCCGCCTGGCGTTTATGTAGGTGTTAGAGAGCTGAACTTTGTTCTCAAGCTTTTGTGGCAAGCACTTAACCTAATGAGTCATCTCTGCAGCCCCATAGATTTTTTTTGTTTTTTTTTTTAATTATCAAAAGACCATTTCTGTCATAGAAATATGACTTAATTTCCATCAAAACCAATTGTGTTTTAGGATATTAACTCTAGGGATTATTTGATGCTCTCTTGGATCTGGGATATCTCTAAACGCCCATGTGCAGGGGGCTGCTTCATCAGCCCATGGCTCCATGGCAACGTGTTGGCATTTTAAGGAGGTGTGACCTAGCGGAAGGTCTCTAGGTCCCAGCCTTGAAGGAGACTCCGCGGCACCAGACCCTTCCACTCTCTACTTGCTTTCGTGCCACCTCTCCTGCCGTCCTGTACTGCTCCACCACAGGCCCGGGGCAACAAGGCTGGTAACCAGGGAATGGACTCTCAGAAACCATGACCCAAGACAGACTTTCTTCCTAATCAGTTGATTTTCCCCGAAACTTTGCACAGTAACAGGAAGCAGACAAACACACCTGGTTTTCAAATTTGGGAAGCACAATTAAGAATTTCACGTTCACCCCTTTTAGCTAACAATTATAAAATTTATTAAAAGAAAACAGGCATGTAAAATGCTTTGGCCTGTATCCTCTCTCAGAGAAAAAAAAATGTCCCTAATAGCAATGTTTTTGAATTAAGAAGCAATTTTCCTAGGTTCTGGGCCACTTGACTCTTAAATTATCCACTCTGCTGACAGTTCTTTGCAAGAAATTGCACAAAACACTTAAGGGTATGTGTTCCATGATGTTCTATTGTCAAATTCATTAAGGGTGTTGGAAAACTGTATCCCACATGTATACTTTAAAGATTAGCAACACTTCGGCTCTATAAATCACAGCTGGGCAGAGGACAAGAGTCAAAGGATGGGAGAGATTTGTTTTGCTTTGTTTTAACCACTAGAGACCTGCTCTTAAAATCCTGTCCAACTACTACGGAAAAGAAAAACGACTGTTTATTCTCCTGTCTTTAAGCAATGGAGAATTAAGAACGCCACATTCCAGGGGCTGGTACCAATTTGTACATGCGTGTTCCCAGAACATCAGGGGCACAGTTACATAGTAAAGAATTCTTATCACTTTAGGCCCTTGCGCAACGCAGAGCTCAGGAAAAGAACTCTGCCGAAGTTTTGAAAAGCTGCACAATGGCTGCTCAGCTGGCTCATTGATGACTTCAAGGCTTGATGAGCCATGTGAAGAGCAGGTGGAAGGGAAACAAAGCACCTTCCAGCCCCAAGGACAGCTGGACAAGGGGAGTAAATCTGGAAGAGCAAACAGTACCACGATTGGACCGGAAATGGTGGGCAACTTGTGGAAGACAGCAGCAGGAATGAACAGAGCCATGAGAGGCCTAAGTGGAGGGAGGGGCAACCCCAGAGCTAAGAGAAGCCTGAGACCAGGTCAAACCTTGCCTTCTGCAGGGACCCAGCCCTAACCCTAAATACACTCAGCAAATTCTAAAGGACGTAGCTGAAGCGGTCGGTGGCAGAGCACCAGCTCTGCCCACAACAGCTGGGCTAGCTGACTATGTTTACACACACACACACACACACACACACACACACACACACACACACACTTTACAAGAACCTTATAGAGCCCAGCAGCTCTTTTCTTGAAGTGCTTGTGTAAATTTCAGCAGTGCTTGGGTTATCATTTCCTTTTCTTTCAGTTAGATTCAAATAAAACTATGATTTTTTTTAAGATGGAAAAATGTGATTGGATACTTTTATTTGATTTTGTATACTCATTTATTTGGCAGGTTTGCTTTGATAAATTTCGTATTCTTTCTGGAGTAGGGATAAATATTGAGACAGAATTGATTCCAGAGAATCTGAGACCACTAAGATGGGGATTCAGGGAAGTGGGACTACTTTCTCGGTAGTCCCATTAACATTTTGATGCTAAGGAGGCTTGAGAAAGGAAACCTCAGGTGCTCCACAGACTACAGCAGGTCCTATCCTGGGTCATTTCAGCTTCCCACCAAATACTCTCACTTAACTCATGGCTCTTTGTGTATCCAAGGCCAACCTTAAGCTTCCCTGATCCTCTTCCTCCACTGCCCCAGCACTGGGATTCCAGGCGTGCACCACCAATAATCAGAGTTTATGCCAAGGTGCTGATCTAACCCGGGGCTTGTGTGTGCCAGGCAGGAAGTCTACAAGCAAAGCTACATTCCCCAGCCCTTTAAAAGGTAACTAACTGGATGTAGTGAGAACGAATTAAAAATTGAACTAGAAAACTGGCGGGATATCTCAGGGCTAGATCTAAGAGAGGGGAAGAGCTGGACAACACAGACATGGTTCTCAGGATAAAGCTCAAGAGTCAGGAGGACGCACCCTCACCTTATCCCTAACACAGAGGATGCTTAAACCCCAGGTCCATCCAATTGCTCATACTCTTTCAGAATCTCCCCACCTTCTTCCTTCCCTGGACATAACTTACACACACACACACACACACACACACACACACACACACATACACACACACACACACACACACCACACACACATTCTGCAGCTGTGAGGTGGGGCCTGTGTGCTGGAAATACAGCAAAATGAGAGAGGTGCAGAAAGTGAAAGTGAACCAACATTCATCGGCAGCTACTATGCAAAAGGCGCTGAACCTGAAGGAACACGTCATTTATTCTTCTCAGCTTAGTTTCCCTTTTACATTTTATCCTCAAGGAAACTGAGGATTGGAAAGCAGAAGTGATTTCCTCAAAGCCGCACGGCCTAAAGGTGCAGTATAAAGAAATTAAAAGAAAAATCAGGACGTGTGTGTGTGTGTGTGTGTGTGTGTGTGTGTGTGTGTATGTGTGTGTATGGGGCGGTGGCAGGTGGAACCAGAGAGATTAAGTACATGCGCAGAAATTAAGAGCATGTACTGTTCTTGCAGAGGACTAGGGTTTGACGGGTCCCAGAACTCAGTGATGACTTGAAGCCACCTATAACTCTAGTTCCAGGAGCATCTAAAGTCTCATAGTTATGGCGGCATCTGTACCCTCTCTCACACACAACTAAGAGAGAAGGAAAGAAAAATAAATCCTGAAGAAAGATCCAAACAACTAACTCTGGTTTGGTGGTACATGCTTGTAACCTCAGCCTCAACAGGCTGAGGCTGGAGGATTAAGAGTTCAAAGGGGACCTCAGCTGAACCATGAGACCGCCTCAGAAACAACAGAAATCTCACACCAATGAAATCACTTCTTTTTGACTAACATAACCCAAGATCCATGCAGGCCCTTTCCACTCCGGCAAACTCTGCTTTACGGCCACAGAAGGGAAAACACAAGGTCCTCATTGACCACACAGTTTATTACCCAAGCCCTGGAGATAGCTCTGGACTTTTCTCTCACTACACACCATACGCCACTGTCTCAGCATGAGGTGACTCTGCAAGCTTGAGAGAAACACAGAGACGCTGCTGCTTGATCCTGTCTTCTCTGGGCCCACGACTGAGGACCAGCTTCTCCATCCTGCTCAGCACACTGGCTCCTCTACCTTACAACACTGGCTACAAAGATGGCGTACTCAGGGCAGGTTCTGTTCTTTGGCAACCCAGGCGCTTCAAGGTCACGGCATTTCTTCCTTTAAACATATGTTTAAGTAATGAATAATGAAGAGCTTATAGCCAGAATAAAGAATGTAGAATTTCTGTGTCTAAATTTCACATGTTCAGTTCATGTGACAGTGGAAGGAAAGGGCTGACTGAGTACAAGTTTTCTGAGTACAAGTTCAGGAACCTCAGCTATTAGGAAGATCGCCCCCAGGCTTAGGCATCAATAAGAGGCAGAGCTACACCATGATCACCCCCGGGTTCTGTCTGCCTGCGGAGTGGGAGCATCTGCATGATTACAACAAGAAAGAACACGTCACTGAAGATCCTCCCTTCACCAGCCACAGGCCATAGGCAATTCTGGCCTTGAGTTCCGGCAGAAGGCCTTCCCTCTTCCGTAACGATCCCCAAACAGTCTACTTGTCTGTTTCATGTGGCTCACCTGTTCACTGTTCACACTCAGCCTCTACTGAGCCTCCTTGGGGCCAGGCACTAACTGGCTCATGTGACATTCCAGAACCAACAAGAAAAGTATCATAACGGGACCAGGTAAATTTAAGATGAACTAGCTACAATTATTCTACCTATAGAATAATTAATTCAATATAAAAGGCTTCTAGTCTTTTATGCCCTTCTGAGTACTGAAACATTAAAACCTAATGTTTTTTTAAAATAAAACATTTATCTATTCTTTGAGACTTTCATATAATTAACCCCAGTCAACTCTCCAACAAAAAACCTAATTTTTTATTAATTATTATTATTTTTGTTTATTTGGTTGGTTTGAGACAGGGTCCCACTATGCAGCTCTCCAGTGGCTTGGAACTTGGTAGGTAGACCAGGCTGGCCTAGAACTGAGAGAGATCCGCCTGACACTGTCTCCTGAGTGCTGGGATTAAAGGTGTGATGTCCTTAGAAATAGCTTTATCAAAACCAAGAGTTCTAAAAATAAAGCTTTATCAAAACCAAGAAACACTAAAAATAAAGTTTTCATTACACAAACTATATCACGTTTTACATAACAGCAGAGCTTAAAGACAGTGCAAAAGCATATTGAGGTAGATTCTGTTTCCAGCTAGCATTGTGCCAAAACAGCTCTCAATATAAACGCAAGGCCTCTACTCCTGAGCTACATCCCCCAGCCTCCGCAAAACATGTGTCTTATTCTTTTATTTTTTCATATTACATTTATGTATTTATATCTGAGTGTGTGAGGGTGTGTACGCCATGGCCGTGGTTTGCGTGTGTGGAGGTCAGAGGTCAACTTGATGGCGTTGGTTCCTTCTGCAGGCAGGGCCTGCGGCTTGCGCTCAGGTCATCAGGCTCGGTGGCAGGTGCCCGTATGCACCTAGCCCACCTGCCAGCCCCAGGAGCGTGTGCGTCTGCCCTCACACTCTGCCGCCCCTCGACCTGCTCCGTGCTCTGTGCTTTCAGAGCAAGTGTTCAGAGGTCCCCGTGAGGAGAACTCTCGACACCCAGGGCTGATCACTGCTGTGGCCTTCCCAGGACCGCCATTTCCCTCAGCGCTTGCCACAGAGAATCCTCTGCGAGGAAAACTCCCCTGTGCTTTGGAGTATCAAGAGCCTCGTTTCTCTCCAACCTCACACATATCAGCTCGTCCCTTTGAGGTCACAGGTGTCATGTCTGTCAGATACCAGTGGCTGCAGAGGCATTTGGTGTCGGGGGAAGGGGACGCCATCACTGACATCCTGGTTTCTCTCTGCTCACAGTGGTTCTCAACTGTGACCTGTTAATGCAATTCCTCACGCTGTGGTGACCCCAAGCATACAATTATTTTTGTTGCTGCTTCACAACTGTAATGTTGCTGCTGTTACGACTCACAATGTAAATTTCTGGTGTGCAGGATATCTGCCATCTGACCCTATACAGCACTCACTCAGGCCCCAGGAAGGTCATGACCCACAGGCTGAGAACCACATCCCCACAGGTAGGCACACCAACAGTCGTCTCTGGCCGTGCGATGCGCATCTACAGCACCCAGTGTCTCAACAACAGGGTCTCTCCCAAAGAAGCAAGGTGACCATTTTCCCACCGGCTAACCGGCCTTAGCCACTGCGCTGCCCCACCAAGGTGAGCCTTTACCTGACGAGAAGTCATAGAAGCAGTTGAGAACAGTGCTTCCCGGACGGATCCAAGCAGCAGGAACCTCTTCCGGCCTAGGTGAACCTAAGACCACGATGTCTGCCTCTTGAAGCTAAAAGGAGAAAACCACACACATTAACCTATAGCATAAGGATGTGACCGGCTTCTGATGCCAGATGACTCCAAAGTAACAGGCAATTTTAGTAAAAGACCTGGGGTTTCCCTCCAAACTGTGGGCATGGACTAAAACTGTGAGCCAGTTCCGCTCAGTCCTGTCTCAGCATAAGCAGAGCATGACTGACGATCTTACAAAGAAAACAGGACTCTAAAAATATCTTCCCAGTGGCCACCTCAGTGCACACACTATACAAGCACTGTCATTTTTATAAGGCACCCTGCTATACATTAACCATGTTCAGAAGGAAAGAGTGGGTTGGGAAGCTGGTTCATGGGGTAAAAAATTTGTAGTGCAAGAATGAGGATCCAAGATCAAATCCCCCAAACTCACATATAACCAGGCCTGCCGTTATGGCTGTAACCCCAGCGTACTACGGCGAATCAGGCGGTGAAGACAGAAGAATTCCCCAGGAACGAGTGGGAAGAATTCCCCAGGAACGAGTGGGCCAGCTAGACTGGGGCATGCATTGGTAAAAGGGCGAAGCAATCCTGTCTCAAACAAGGTGAAGCCTCTGACCTCTTATTTCTGTGGCCTCATTCACAGTCAAATGAGCATGCATACACTCTCATGCACACACACACACACACACACACACACACACACTTTCTCTCTCTCACACAGAGAAGGGAGGGAGGAAGGGAAGGAAGGGGAGAGTGAGAGGGAGATGGAGAGGGATAGTGAGGGGGGGAGAAGGAGGAGAGGAAAGGGAGAGGGAGGGAAAGGGAGAGAGAGATTTAGGAAAAAAGGGCTAGCTCTGCTAAAACAATTGTCTAAGTAGCCATTCACCCTCCTCTGCTCTGCACAGCCACGACAGAGTTAAACTGCACCAAGATGTGTGGAGCCAGCATCCCCTGCAATCTGACCAGTTCAAGCCGTACAAGATCTCTGCAGACAGATCCGAAAAATAGCTAGACTTGTGGGTGCTGTTATGCGTAGGGGAAAAGTGTTCTGGTGGAAAGACGATTGTAAACATCTGTTTCAAAAAGCCATTTCTCATTTACATACTTAAATGGCTGTCATAAATTCAACCGCAGTGATCCTCACAGGAAATACAAATATTTAAGGCCAGCTCCAGAGCAACAGATAAGAGACACCACTTTGCTAGCTTTCTTTTCCTGCACAAAAACAGCCAAACCAGAGTATGTTAAAAGAGCCATTGAAAGAATGTCTAGAAGAACAACACTGAAGCGTTCATTTTGGGAAAAGGCAGGGAACACAGCTTCAGAGCTGTCCCCTGAGAACTGTCAGGGTCCTGCACGTGGTGTCTTTGACGTAACTCCTTCTCTTCATTACCTATAAATCCTGAGCATCTTATTCTGGCTCCTCGGCTACGAACCTACAATCATCTCTGCGCTAATAAGCAAGCAGGGGCTGTTAATCCCACACAGAAGGGACAAAAGACCCCTCCCTCAGCCACGGTCACAGAATAGATGCTAATTCTTTCTGGAAAGAAAAAATGCAAGATGCTTAGATCAATAAATAACCCACTGAGGACAGAGCAAAATTTTAATGAGCTCAGATTCAAGGAGAATTATTGTCTCCCTGGCCGCCCCTGCTTCCCCCTGCCGCATGGGAAAGGCCTTGGCCAGGGCCCGGCTTGAAACTTTACCTCATAACCAAATATTGCTTTCTCTGTGGAGACCAGAGCAGCATGGCTGAGAGGGAACCACCCACTCCCCAGGCAGAGGACCAAATGTTAAAACAATAGTAAGACGCGAGAGATGGACACTAATGCAGAGCATGTGGGGTGCAGTGTGGCTTAGGTAACGTGAAAACTATTCCAGAGGTCCCATGGGGAGGGGCATCAAACTCGGAGGGAAGAAGGCAGATATCATCTGGAAGGCTACGAGGGTTTGGGCTTTTCTACTCAGCGAATGCAATGCTAAATTTAAAGACAGGAGACCATGGCCGGAGCAGTCTCATCACTGTGGCCAGAAGGGACACACTGGTTCCTTCTAGCAATGTGTTAAGGGGAATAAATGAAGGTCTTGGGTTTGATAGATCAAAGCTAAAACAAGTAAAACAAAACAAAACACCCCAAACAGTTGATGTGCTGACAAGATGGCTCCATGCGCTCCTGCCAACAAGCCCAAAGATCTGAGCCCAACCCCAGGTGCCCACACGGTGGGAGGAAAGAACCGACCCCGACAAGCATTTTCTGACCAGCACATGCGTACTGGGGCACAGTCTTCTTACCACCCCACACCCCAGCACCACAGTAAATAAAGAGGAGTGTCATTTTTTTTAAAGTTGAAAGCTATTTTTTTTTTTTTTTAAAGAACTGGGCTGTTTAGCACCTGAGAGTTATGAAACATGCTTCCACATCTTTTGAATGTTACCAGCCCAGTTAAAAAAGTGAAAGTCGAATGAAGAAGACTATGTAAAAACAAAAAACATAACTCAGTAGGTAACTGTTTTCCCCAGCAAAGATACATATTTAAAAAAAATTATACTGAATAGTGGGGCTAAATAAAAGTTAAAATTCTTCATCTTTTGGGATAGCTGGGGGTATGAAGGTAAAAATCCTGCCCCTGCGAGCAGTTGTGAGAGCTGGGGTCTTCAGGATGGGGAGCTGCAGGGTAAACACTGAGCTATGAGGAGAAAACAGTGAGCATCCAATAGCTACTTGATTTCCCCTCACATCCTGGAAGGTAAAATTATGAGCATTTAACGTCTGAATGGACACGGCATCTCAGTCAGCACCTGTGGCAGCCGCCCGCTGTCACACACAGAACAGAAGGGTCCCCGGGGAAGGGGAGGACCCGTCACCTTATAGGGCCCCTCCATTGGTCTCTAACTCCGTGGCTTTACAGATTCTGTAAGGCCCCGTTATAGACCCTCCACTGTGCTTTGAAAGGAGATGGCGTGTTCACAAACATCCCATGGAGCATGGAGGCGCCCTCACTACCTTTTAGCATCATCCTATTTGTTTTTTAGAAAGTGTCACTTTTGCCGGGCATGGTGGTACAAGCCTTTAATCCCAAAACTCAGGAGGCAGAGGCAGATGGATCTCCCTGAGTTCAAAGACAGCCTGGTCTACAAAGCAAGTCCAGGACAGTCAAGGCTACACAGAGAAACCCTGTCTCGGAGAAGAGGAAGAGGAGGAGGAGCAGCAACAGGAAGAGGAGGAGAAAGTCACTTTTATTTTACAAAACAATAATTTCTAAAATTACTAATGTTTTCTTAACAACAGACAGGGATTTGGATAAACAAAATTCATGTTTAAAGAATAAACTATGCTTGGTTTAGTCATGCTTGTAAAGAACTACAGCCTACAGGGAAGGGTATTCAGACAATAAAAAATGCAATTTATAATCCAGGTCTCTAAGCAAGTACTGCCCTCATGGAAACCCCATGTGGAAACTGCCCAGTTAGGGTCTTATTTTTCATTGAAAATGTATTATATTTTGGTTTCAAATTCACAGGATCACACAAAGAATACTAAATATGTGAATTCATTAGTATGCATTTTATTTATGCATACTAATGAAAGTAATAAAAAATTACTTGTTCTCCTTTCTTGTTCTCCTTCCTAAATGTTCTATCAGCCACACACAGACATGTGTTTGCACATACACACATGCCTTATAGAGCATTATCCACATGAGAGAGAACGTGTTTTTTTTCTCTCTGAGATCAAGTGATCTCAGTTAATTTTACAGATTTGCAAACCATCTATTTTTCTGCAACTTTTGTGATTTTGTTTTTCTTTAGAGTTAGAAACGGAATCCCTCTACACATGTACCAGATTTTCGTTATCCATTTATCTGTCTGGCTCCGTTTCCTCGCTATAGTGAGCAGAGCAGCACAAGGCAAGAGAAGCCTGTGGTCGCTTTGAGATCTCTAACCAGAGCCTCCTTGTCAACTTGCAAGCTTTAAAATAATAATGTAAAGTTTCTGAGAATATTCATTTATTGTCCCTGAATCTCAAAGAGTAACAAGTCAGGAATTTGAAAACACTGAAAAATATCCCCCCCCACCCCCAGGTAAGGTGTAATTCTAAAATGTATCATTGTTGCTGAATAAACATACTTCTAAAAATGTAACAGAAGCACAGGGCGGGTCAAACTAGTCTATGCTGTATGAGATTGGTCTCAGGATGATTTCTCAGGAGGCGGATTAGGACGGGCAGAGCGAGAAGGTACATGTGATATTGAGGAATCTAAGGGGTCTGGAGCTGAGACTCAGCAGAGAGCAGTGGGACGGGGAACCAGCTGGGATCTACCTCCATCCAGAGAGAAAAGAGAACTAGAAGGCTGAGTAAGATTCCCAAACTCACCTGTGTGTGTGCGTGATTGACGCCAATCAGCAAGACGGGGGCTAGGGATGGGGATACTGTATGGAGTATGAGTTAGGAAGAAGGGTGTGGCCCTTCAGGGTAAGGGAAAGGGATGTGGTTGAGGTTTACACCACCCCTGTAGTCATACAAACTAGAAGTATGTAGTCCTGGCAACTAGGAATTGGTGAGCAACTTCCCCATAGCAACCACACCTGGCATGACCTCTCCCGCTCATGTAGCGTGTGCAGGCTGCATATGGAGAGTTCATTTTGCACGATGGAGACCCCGTCTATTCCTCACACTTTAAAACTTAGCATGCCTAATACTTGAAATTAGCTGGGTCTACACCACACCACCCTGAACGTGCCTGAGCTCATCTGAAATGAACTGAGCAAGCACCGTAAGGCTATACTCTGCATCAATGAAACCAACAGCCATGTTTTCCTGCGACAGTAAAATGAGGAACATGACTGACTGAAAAGGCTGCTCAGAGGCTCAGATACTGTCAGACTTTGGCAAGACAGAAGTTGAGAGTCACAGCGAAAGGTATTTCCTCCTCTCTGTGCCCACCCAGTGATCTCACCCTGCGAGAATTTTTTTTTTTTTTCCTTTCAGGAATTGAGCATATTTCTGTTGTCTACTCTCTCTTGTGATC